CACTTTAGGTTTGATATTTATTTTACCTTATTAACCAACTTATAATCATTATTAGAAAGAAATTGAAAAGTCATGGGAGTTTTAAATGAATGTGGTGAAAGGAAAAATGCATTTCAAATGAATGTGGTGAAAGGAGAAATGCTTCCTTTATAAGTATACTAGACGAATTCCCGCGCGTTGCGCGGCGCAAGTTAAAAATATATTGTTAGAATATAGTTTTCAGACACATTTTAGTTAATTCGATTCATCAATTTAGGTTCTTTTATTATTATTATATTTAATGTTTTCCTTTTAACTATGTTAAAAAATATATATTGAATTTTTTTTAAACATTATTTTATATTTTTCTTTAAGTTTTAAATTTTACACTAAAATTTTAAGCTTGTTTGATATATTAATGTAGGTTATTTATTTAACTATATATTGAAGTTAACAAATTAAGTATATCATATTGATAAGTTACAAATTCTTTCATTTATGATAATGTTTACAACTAAAAGCATATTTAAGTTAATAAATTAAGTATATTGTATGGAAATATGAACAGTTGGGAGTTTCAAATGAATGTGGTGAAAGAAAAAAATGCTTCCTTTATAATATAGTATGATATGATGATATGATGATTATAGTTTTAATTTGTAAGTCATTGTGATATATACAATTATTTGATAATTTTATAAACCGTTTAAAATTGTGTAAATTATATATCAAACGTATGATAATCTATATATAACGGGTAACCAAATGACGACTTTTGTAAGAAAAATGTACTAATATAACTACATATATAATGAAGGTGAAAGGGTGTGGGGGTTTCAAATGCATGAGGTGTTGAACTTATAGAGTGTGTGATTTTCTTGGAATGGGATTATGTGTGATTAATTACTTTGAAGGTGAAAGGGCGTGGGGGTTTCAAATGCATGAGATTCAAGAAAAAATGTTAGCTTTATAAGTATGTATGATATAGATATAGATAGATATAGATGTAGATATAAATATAGATATAGATATATAGAAGATATTGTAAGACTTGTTTATGCTTATGTATCTGTATTGACGATGATACCTCATGGGTTTAATTGTAAATGAAATATATTTCCTCGAAAATGATTTGATAATAATATTATCATGTTTTGGGAACAAATTCCGCAATAAGTTTCACTTTCTGAATAAAATAAGCATAAAAAAGTTTAAAATTGGTTGTGAAAATGGGGATGTCACAGTTGAGCCCAAAGAGCCGATAGTATTTAACGTTGAAAAATCCCATTTTTACATTTACATGAGTTATATGAAATCCCAAATGAGTCATAGTAAATCTCAAATGAGTTAGGGTTGTTTGCTATGTCTCCTAGTAGGACTAGTAAAAATTTGGGTCCGACTCTGTTAGATTCAGACCATTTGATACCACAATTAGAAGCATATAATTCAATCTTAAAGCATATGATATGCCTTTTATTATGTCTGATAAAAGGTTAGGTCTGACTCAATCAGACTTTCACTAAATCAAATCTGATTCAATCAACAACTATCAAACATCATTTTAGAGGGAATCACAAATGAGTTGGAGAAAATCCAAGATGAGTTATAAAAAATCTAGATGAGTTAGAGGAATTCCATATAATTTAAATAAAATCTCAAATTAGGCTCCACATCTACGATTTCCTCTCCTCAAGTGAAATTGTATAAGTGCTTAATACATAACCTTAAATATTACATATCTATACAACTTCTAATCTACATTTCCTCTAACATAAAATAAGAATGTACAAGATAAAATAACACATAACCTATAAAAATACTAATTTGCGATCATCTAACTAAAAGTTCAAATGATGATTAGAAAGTTTACAAATGAAGTGTTTCCATCCGTCATGATAGAATTTTCTGTTTTTATTTAACTCTCGATTGAAAATATAAAAATAAAGATAATTTTTCTCTCAATCAATAAACACATTGAGTTCATGGTTTAGGATATAACGAAATCGCAGCTCATTACCCGTTATAGATAAATTGCAGATGAGTAACTATTTGGATAATTTCTTAATTTTTTGGAAACAAAAAAGTAGTAAATTAGGATATATTAATCGTTTTATCTAATTAAAATAGTATACGTATATTCTCTAACACAATTTAGGATAAAGAAATGGGGAATTAAGTAAACTAACCATTATTAACAAGTTTTTTTTTAAATAATTTTTTTTTTCAGTTTTTGAAAAATAATCACTTTCTTCCGAATGTCTTATTCCGGACTACTATTCACATTTCGTGTAATATGTAATGTAGAAGAAGTCTCCTAGGGTGCATCTTTTTGGCAAGCAAGTCCTTTTCTCACCACCTTGCATTGATTATGGACATTTGTAAGTCCTAAACTCTTGTCTTTCTTTATTAAACATGCTAGATCTAAATTTATTCACTTCTTTTCATGGTTGGGTTGGATAGCATGCATGAGATTCATAAAGTTAGCAACTTTATGAATCATTGAGGCCTCTTATTTAGTATAGGTTTCAGATATGAGGTTTGGTGGTGGTTTTAGACTCCAAGCTACGAGGTTGTATCGCGTTCTGTCGTGTTCGTGTTCACAAATCGACACGAATGAGCATGTGTTTGTCGTGTTTGTTTTTTTTATCGTGTTATGTATGATTAAGTATGAATAAAATAAAATAATGGTGATGTAATGCTATCTTTGTCGTGTCGTGTTTTAATTGATTTGTTTTCATTTTAAGTGAAAAAAAAAAACACTACATCGTATCGTATCTTGTTCGTGTTATATATAAAACATTATCGTATCGTATTGTGTAGGTCAGAAAAAAACACGATACGACTAGCCCTACTTAATTTCCCAATAATTTTTTGCGTTACATTAACATATTTATAGCTTACTGGTACTTTGGCGTTAACTTAACATATTTATAACTTACTGGTACAGAATTAATATTTTATAATCAAAATATTTGTAACAAAGATACGTACAATTAATCGATACGCATTAATTAGTAGCATTACAATATCATATTCATATTATCATATATATTAATGTCATCAAATTCAAATATCTTCTCCCTCCTTTAGCAGTATCGCATCATATGCACGGACTGCCCATGCTTCCAGTACCGGAATCGGAGCTAAGACAAATTTCCGTCAACGTTGTCGATAAATAGCCGACGAATCATTAATTAAACTGATTATTAGTTAACAAGATTTAAGAGGCTTCCCACACAAACAGTCATTGTTAACAAACGATGCCGCTTCAAGGTGCTCGAACCAGGATCCAGCCGGAATCGCCCCACACAGATGGTTGTGACTCAGATCAAGATGTCCGATGTAAGACGCGGACGCTATCGACTTCGGGATCGGTCCTTTCAGATTGTTGTACGACAAATCCATCATCATGAAGTAAGATCTAGGCCCGAACACGTCCGGTATGTTGCCTTCGATAGCGTTTCTGCTAAGGTTTAAGATACTAATGCTTGAGTTGATCAATGTGGCTGGTAGCTTACCTGAAATCATGTTTCCATCCAGATTCAATGTCGCCAACACCGCCATTTTCCCAAGAGATTCAGGAACAGGTCCGGAGATCCTGTTCAGCGACAGATCAAGGTCGGAGAGACGGTAGATGTAAGAAATCGTGTATGGAATCGGTCCGTAGATCCGGTTGCCGCTCAGTAACGCGCGACTCAACATCCGCAGCTTCCCGAAGTTTTGTGGTATGGTTCCCGAAATCAAGTTGTTTCGGAGATCTAAATGCATTAACGACGATAGATTAGCGATTGATCTGGGCATTCTACCGGTGATTCGGTTGTCGGCAATGTTAAGAACCGTGAGACGGCTGAGTTTGCCGATATCGAAAGGGATTTCACCGGAGAGTTGGTTTCCGATGAGGTCGAGGATACGGAGGAACGGCAGAGACGAGATGCATGGAGGTATAATACCGGAAATACCCTTCCAGTCAGCAATAATGACACTTGATAGCCTCGTCAGCTTGCAAATAGCTGGAGAAATGGTTCCGTTCATGTACCCGGTCCGATGAGCCTTCTGGAAAATCGGGTCTTCGGACTCTCCACGGAGGTTGATGTCGGCAACCCGTTTGGTAGTCGGATCACAACTGATACCGTACCATTTCTTACAACAGTCGTTACCCTTCCACGACTTAAAGATGCCCAAGTAAGGCTCATGTAACGCAGCTTTGAAGGCCAGCAACGCCGCCCTATCCGACGGCGGACAGCCTTTAACGGCGGTTCCGACAAGCAACACCAAAACAGCTGTAATCAACAATGAGGTACCCATTTCTTTCTCTCTAGCTATCTCTCACACACTTACACTCTAAACTGTTTGCTCGGTTGTTTCTTTTAACTTTGTCTGCAAAACTCGACGTTCATGTGGGAGGACTGAGGGTGGTTGGTTTGGGTTGAGGGAAAGGAAAGGGAGGGAAGCTTAAATAGTGACAATGGCGGAGGTGAAATGACGGGATTAACCCTCACGTGTGATGTGTGAGGAAGGGTGAACAGGTCAACGTGGGTAGGGGATAAGATTGGGGATAGAGAAGGGCAACGAATAATGAGAGAGGTTGATTGAGAGTGAGAGGACTGAGGAGGTAAAATATCGAACCGCGTGTCATGTGCTTATCCAGGTCCTATTAATTGACTGCACGGCTTAACCATACGTCTGCAACTCTGCATACATACATTTTTTGGTAATAAGTAAGGACATATATGCATCTAGATAATGATGAAATCCTGCTTAAAAGTTAAAACTTAAAACGAGCTTTCAAGTTTCAAGTATGGGTTGTTTACGTTATTATTATTTTTTTATTCAAGTTTTTAACTTACTTTTATTGACTTTGCATATCCGAAATTGGTTGATTATTTATAAATGAAACATCACAGATAAGCATTATTGTCGTTTTCTTTTTCATAATTGGATAACTCGATTTGCATTAATTACTCAAATTAGGCGGGAATGCATACTTGTGAATAAAAAGCATCAATTTAGTCTAAATATTAAGTTGATCAAAGAATAGATGTTTATTGATTAGAAGCAAAGCCTTTTATATAAACAAGAATAAGATTTAAATCTACCAACAAACTTCCTAAAAACTACAGAGAATCAAGTTAACTACATATACTAATATCTCCTCGATCTTAGGAGAATTTATTGAACCAGAAATATTCAAAACAAACTCATCATATCCTTCACAATATAGAACTCCAAGCATGCTGCGTAACTTCATAAACGTGTCAAGTTTTAAAAGTTTCATCATGATATCTGGAATCTGCTCTGGAGATCTACAAAAAAAGCAATTCTACTTCCCCTTCCTTTTCTAGATCTCTTACTCGAACTGTTTCAAAGTTTTATTGAAGAGTTGTTATCATAGTCAATTGAGATCCTTTATTTTAAACTTGATTGAAGTTGTTGATAATTTATGTCATCCAAACACTTTGACAGGCACGGGTGAGACAACAACTTTCTCAACTTTGGTGGTCGATAATGTCACAATTGGTTGCTTCTTAGAACTCCAACTAACTATTGTTCCACTTAATACAAACACATAATCGATGTACTCTTGTTATTGTCCACATCTCTTGCAAAGTCACTAGTTTCACTCATCATATAGGAAACCTAACTTCAATGATCATTTGACATAACGTGAGACCTTTTAGCATCCATAAGATGGCTTCTCTTGGACAGAACATGAACCTGCTAATAAAACACATGATGAGAACATTATGTATGGTACTGAAACCTTTTAGCATCCATAAGATGGCTTCTTTTGAATACTCACAAAGGTCCAAAGTATGTGCTAAAAGATGATGATGAGATTGCAAGCTGGATCTATGCACAACAAACTGTTCCTTTTTCTTTAAGACACCAAAACACTCTACAAGCTCACAAATGTCAAAAAGGAGGCTAGGGTTTTCTTGAGGGTGAAAAGGAGATGATGAAGGTTGAGGGTGTGCAAACCATAGCCCTCACTTCCCTTAAATAAGGGCATAAACCCCAGAATTAGGGTTTAGCATAAAACGGTTGCCACGTTGTGGCCAATATATTGACATGTCGTGACGCACACTCAAATTGCGCGTTTCCATCGGTTAACGTCACGTCGTGGTACTATCATCACCACAACGTGGCCATCAAAAATCATTTCTTTTGAGTTTGAAAGCCATCACAACAAAAGAAGTATATACCTGGAACTTGGTGTTACAATTCTCCCCCACTTAAACTATATATCTTCCTCGAAATCCTTAGATGTAAATAGATATGGGTAGTGCTCGCGCATCTCCGACTCGGGCTCACAGGTCCACTCGGAGCTCTTCCGATGCTACCACTGGACCTTGACTAAGGGCACCACCTTGTTGCGCAAGGCCTTCGTCTTTCTATCCAGAATCGTCACTGGCCTCTCCACATAATTCAAGCACTCATCGACCTGAATGTCGTCTAATGGAATCACTATCGTATCATCACCCAAGCACTTCTGAAGCTGAGAAACATGGAAGGTTCTATGAATCGAACTAAGCTCCTCAGGCTGATCCAACTGGTAGGCTACCTTGCCTACCCTGGCCACTACTTGAAAATGTATGATAAATCGAGGGCCCAACTTGTCCTGCTTCCTGAAGCATATAACACCTTCTAGAGTGATACCTTCCGCAGAACCATATCCCCAACCTGAAACTCCAACTCGGACCGTCGCCTATCTGCGTAACTCTTCTATCAGCTCTGTGTTGTTTGTAACATCTGTCTGATCTGCTGGATAAGCTCTGTCGTATGGAGTACCACCTCAGTCCTTCCCATTACTCTATGGTCGACCTCTCCCCAATAAACTAGAGTCTGACACTTCCTCCCATAAAAAATCTCATACAAAGTTGCACCGATGTTGGAGTGATAGTGGTTGTTGTACGAAAACTCGGCCAAAGGGAGGTAGGAGTTCTAACTCCCACCGAAATCAATAACGCAAGCCCTCAACATATCCTCGAGTGTCTGGATAGTCCGCTCACTCTGCCTGTCTGTCCGTGGATGATAAAAAGTGTTGAAGTGCAATCTGGTTCCCAACTCCTTATGAAACCTCTACTAAAACTGGGAAGTGAATTGGACATCCGATCAGATACAATGGAAACCGGTACACCATGGCGAGCAATGATCGCATGCACATAAACATCAGCTAATTTCTCGGCTGAAGAACCCTCCCGAATGGCAAGAAAATAGGCACTCTTGGTCAGACAGTCAACGGTTAGCCAAATGACGTCAAACCCCTTGGTCATGCTCAGAAGTTTCATGATAAAATCCATGGTGATCTATTCCCATTTCCACATAGGAATCTCCAACGGCTGCAACTTGCTATGCGGTCTATGGTGCTCTACCTTGACCATCCGACATGTCAAACATTTCTCCATATACCAAGTTATCTCTCTCTTCATGCAAGACCACCACTAACTAAGTCTCAAGTATCGATACATCTTCATGGATCTAGGGTGAATAGAGAACCTGGACTTATGCCCCTCCTCTAACAATGTCTGTAGGACCCTATCTGAAACTGGGACCTAAACTCCCCCACACTGGGTCAATAATCCTCGACTATCGGTGACGAATATGCTAATCTGGCCCCTGATATTCTCTTTCTTCCAGTTCCCCATCTTGTTTTCCTCGGCCTGAGCCTCCCTAATCAAATCTAGCAGCGGTGAAATGATGGTCTTCCTCAAACATAATGTAACAAATGCGATAATTGGCACCGATCATTATTTACGGAAAGTGACAAACGTCAAGTATAATAGACTTAATACATATTATATATCAACCTATGATAAGCATATAAGATATAGTATTAAGATAAATAGGAAAAATCAACCAAATCGAGTTGGGGATTAGATTTCAGTTTCAGAGGTTCCAGTGGTCATGAAGTTTGCAGATATATTCCCAGAGGAGTTACCCGGTGTGCCTCCCGAGAGGCAGGTCGAGTTCAGGATTGACCTTGTGCCAGGTGCGGCCCCAATTGCCAAGGCACCATACCGCTTGGCACCGCCTGAGATGCAGGAGTTGTCATCTCAACTGCAGGAGATGCTAGGCAAGCAGTTCATCAAACCGAGCAGTTCTCCGTGGGGAGCACCAATATTGTTCGTTAAGAAGAATGATGGTTCACACCGGATGTGCATTGATTACCGGTAGTTTAACAAGTTGACGGTGAAGAACTGTTATCCCCTTCCGCGGATTGATGACCTCTTTGATCAGTTTCAGGATGCATCTTGGTTCTCCAAGATAGATCTGAGGTCTGGGTATCATCAGATGAGAGTGAGAGAGGAGGACGTGGAGAAGACCGCGTTCCGGACTCGTTATGGGCATTACGAGTTCGTGGTGATGCCATTTGGGCTCACTAATGTGTCAGCTGTGTTTATGGATTTGATGAATCGGGTATGCAGGTCGATGCTCGATCGATCCGTCATTGTGTTTATTGATGATATCTTGGTGCATTCCAAGACCAGAGAGCAGCATAAGGAGCGGAGCATCTTCGAGAAGTTCTGGGGTTTTTGAGGCGAGATCGGCTTTATGCCAAGTTCTCGAAGTGCGAGTTTTGGTTACGAGAGGTCCAGTTCCTTGGGCACCTCGTTAACCAGGATGGGATATTGGTCGATTCGCTAAATTCGAGGTTGTGATGCAGTGAGAGGTTCCGAAATCTCCCTCAGAGATCAGTAGTTTCTTGGGGTTGGCAGGGTACTATCGGAGATCCATTCAGGATTTCTCCAAGATTACGGTACCCTTACTCATCTGACGAGGAAGGGGGGTGGATTTCCAATGGGGCCTTGAGCAGCAGTCGGCATTTGAGACTCTTCCGCAGAGGTTGTGCGAGGCCCCGGTGTTGACCCTCCCGGAGGGAGTTGAGGACTTTGTGATATTCTGCGATGCATCCATCATTGGTTTAGGGGTGGTTCTCATGAGAGGACGGGTGATTGCTTATGCTTTGCGGCAGCTGAAGCTGCATGAGACGCGATATCCCATGCATGACCTGGAGTTGGGGGCAGTAGTTTTTGCCCTCAAGATATGGAGGCATTATCTTTATGGGGTACGTTGTACTGTCTACATGGATCACAAGAGTTTGCGATGTCTGATGGATCAGTCGAACCTGAACATGAGGCAGCATAGGTGGTTGGACGTGGTCAAGGATTATGACTACGGAATCCTTTACCATACGGGTAAAGCGAATGTGGTGGCAGATGCCTTGAGCCACAAGTCGGCTGGGTCTTCAGTCGGGAGACGTGTATGAGGATATTCGTTGATTCTCCGCTTTTAGGATTGATCAG